CATGTTCTTGCAATAATCGCCCAGCTGTAGGCCAACGTACAATTTTTTATTTTAAAACGGAGGCAAAAGCTTTGCCTCGTCCATTAAATAAGAAAGAATAGAGTTTGTTACAAATCACCCACGACACCACATGGATTATTACTCTAGCGATATGAAAGACCCTAATTTTTTTTGCACCGGCGGTGACCCAAAGGTTGGCCTCGATCGAGATGGTGTTAAGCAAGATAGTCGGTGGAGCGCTTTTAAACCTAAACACTCTTGCATTTCGCTCATTCCAAATTGTCCATGTCACAAGCATGGTGAGGGAGGCTTTGGCTTGACGGTTTGGCGTGCCGGCGTCACAAGTGCTTGTCCACCAAGCGTTGACGGAGTCCAACAAGCGCCATGAAGAGGTGTCCAACTCGAAGATGTGAAATTTTTCAATGACCAACGCCCACATCCTTAGAGTATAGCGGCACTTGAAGAATAGGTGTGACCCGCTTTCTTGCACCCTCTTGCAAAGTGGACACAAACCACAATTTGGCCATTCTCTCTTGGCTAATCTGTCCGCGGTCCAAATTCTATCTTGAAGTGCCAACCAAGCAAAGAACTTTACTTTGGGGGGACCCCAGACCTTCCAAACCATTTGGTCCATGGGTGAAAACACCATCCCTATGAATTGCGCCTTATATGCCGAGGCCGCCGAGTAGTGCCCACTAGTCGTGTGTTTCCATAAAATGTCGTCCTCGGCGAGCGCATCAAGATGCACCTCATCCAATAGCATCCAAAGGGTGAAAAATTGTGTGATGAACTCAACAGAAATAATGGTTGGAGGCTTGATCTTGAGCATCCACGCGTTGTGCTTGATGGCCTCGCGCACTTTCCACTTCTTTCGCGGGGAGACTTCGAATATTAGTGGCGCAATGTTCTTCGGCTTGCGCCCAAGAAGCCAAGGTGATTCCCAAAAAGGTGTCTTCGCACCATTGCCCACGGTGATAGTGGTAGACGCATAGAAAAAGTTGAGGTCCTCCTCATTGCATGGGTTGCCCATCTCCACCCACAACTTGATGGGCTCCTTCCATTCATACCAAGGCCACCGCAGCCGCAGAGCACGCACGAACTTTTCCATGTTGAGTATCCCAAGCCCCCCATACTCAACTGGCCTACAGACAATTTCCCAATTCACCTTGCATTTCGCCCCCGTCGTCTTGTCCGAGTCGGACCATAGGAAAGCTCTCTCGAGCTGGTTGACTTTGAAGAGGATACTTGGTGGGATGATCAACGGTGTGATGAAGTAGATCACCTGGGAAATGAGAATAGACTTGACAAGGGCCGTGCGCCCAATGGTGGTGATGTTTTGGCCCTCATACGTTTTCAACTTGGATGCAACCTTGTCCACAAGAAATTGAAGATCCACCAATCTTAGCTTCCAAACAGAGAGGGGGAGCCCCAAGTACCTCAAGGGGAAAGAAGCCCTAGTTGCCGGCAGATTTTGAGTGATATGATCCAAGTCAAGATTATTGCAACGAATGGGCACCATCAAACTCTTATAAAAGTTGGTGTAAAGTCCCGTGACCTCGCCAAATCCTCTCAAAATATTAGCAAGATTGTCAACATCCTTTTTGATCGGAGCCAGGAAGATGGCGGCATCATCCGCATAAAGGGAGGTTCGCATCATGGCACCCCTACCCCGAATTTTGTGGAGGAGCCCCTTTCGCGTAGCCACATCAAGGATTCTTTGGAGCGGGTCAATGGCGATGACGAACAGAAGCGGGGAGATGGGATCCCCTTGCCGGAAACCACGACCATGCTTGATTGGGTTGCCGGCAATGCCATTGAGGATAATCCTCGATGATGATGAACTAAGAAGCGTCGTGATCCAATCCCTAAATTTGCTTGGGAAACCTCGCCGTTGGAGAAGGTCCAATATATATTTCCATTTGACCGAGTCGAATGCCTTGCGAATATCTAATTTGAAAAGGAGGGATGGGGTCTTGCTCTTGTGCAGGCGTCGTGCAAGATTGCGAACATACATGAAGTTATCATGAATACTTCTCGTTTTGATGAAGGCGCTTTGGGCATTGGAGATGAGGGCCGTCATGTGCGGAGTGGGAGAGCACCTTTGCAATAATCTTGGCGATCGCATGGATAAGACTAATAGGCCTATAGTCCGCAATCCGCTCTGCCCCATCCTTTTTGGCAAGAGCACCACATTCACAGAGTTGAGCCAGTGGAGGTTCGAAGTGTGGAGGGAGTCGAAACGAGCAATGGCCCTCATGAGGTCGTGCTTGACAGTGCCCCAACACTTTTTAAAGAATAGGCCCGTGAATCCATCCGGACCCGGGGCCTTGTCATTTGGCATGTCGTTGATTGCTTGAAGAACCTCCATCTCGGTCATTGGAGAGTCAAGGCCATGCATGTCAAGGCGTTCCATATTGAGCTCCTCCCAATTGAAATCTTTTGAACTTTTCGCTCCTTTCTTCATAACATGGGAGAAGTGGTCTTGGATTAATTTATCTTTGGCTTCATGCTCGGTGACCCAACCATGCTCGTTCTTGATCGATGGATATGATTTTTTTTCTCCTCCTAGCATTAACCCGGCGGTGGAAAATTTAGTATTGGCGTCACCTCTTTGAGGTTGGAGATTCGCGCACACTGTTTCTTGCGTGATCTCTCGATCACGGCCAAAGTAATGACCCTTCTCTTAAGCCTAGCCCGTAGGTCACGCTCCTCAGGCGACAGAGGCCTATCCTCTTGGGCGATGTCGAGGCGAAGAATCACCAAAAGAGCGGCTTGGAGATGGATTTTAGCCTTGGAGAAAAGGCCCCTACTCCATTTGGAGAGGCGGATCGCCTCTTTTTGAGCTTGTGGAAGATGATTTGATAGGGATTGGTATGGTCAACCCATTCGTTCCACGCCATTTGGATCACCTCGTTGAAGCCGGGCATGGATGCCCAAAAGTTTTCAAATTTAAAAGTCCGTGGCCTCCGCAGGCCCTTGTCATCGGCAAGCAAAAGCGGACAATAATCGGAGAGGGATGATGAAAGTGCATGGAGGATATGCGTGTTGAAGGTTGTATCCCACTCGGCGTTGCAGAAAAAAGAGTCAAGCTTGCATAGCGTTGGGTTTTCCCTCTCGTTGCTCCAAGTGAACCTCCGATTTTGGAGATGGATTTCTTTGAGCTCGCAACTATGGAGCGTGGCCCGAAAACGGTTGATCCTGCCATGGTGAACATTTCTCTTGTTCTTGTCTCTCGCTTGATAAATTTGATTAAAGTCTCCGGAGGCAAGCCAAGCCACCCCCAAAGGCGGCTTCTGGCTGAGGAGCTCGGCAAAGAACACATCTTTGCAAGAGGGGTCGGTGGGGCCGTAGACAGATGTGAACTTGAAGACCACGTCGGTCGCTCTTACACGGATCATGGCGGACAAGCAATACGCAGTGTTGGTGACGTTGGATGCTTCAACTAATATATCATCCCGCCCAGCTGTAGGCCAACGTACAATTTGGGAACATGAGAGAATGGCACCAGTGTATTTCTCGTAGATAGCATCCGTATATAACCTGGAAAGTCAGAAAGTGCGGATCCCAGTGCCACAATGTACGCACTAGATAGCGGCCTTCAGGCAGCTCGTCCTCCAAAACGTCCCTCCCGTTTGGCAGCACTTTTACAATTCCTAAACTCTTCATAACTTCTGAATTGCGATCTCAGAATTACCATATTGTATAAGTTGGACACAGAAAATCTTGGCATCAGATGCAGATAGGAACTCGAATAATAAGATGATTTGCATTATGACGATGATCTATAGGAGACGTACATGATATGCACTACTCTTCATAGCATCCCAGCACACGAAAAAAATAAGTAAAATCTGACACTGACACAAAATGAGAATCGGGAGAGATTAATAGAGTGTGATGCCTTGACCTTGGCTAGTTCGTTGGCTGGAGTAGCGAATTAGGTTGCGCGCGTCTGACTCGCCGTATGAATCAGATGGACCAGTTGTATGAATCAGATGGTGAGCAGAGGAGCACGATCGAAGAGCAGATCGAGGCAGGCGGGCGGCAAGGGCATGGACGGCGGCAGCTGCGTCTAAATCACACGTAGTGCACGCTAATCACGGGAGAACCCAACTTCCACGAGACTTAGGGCGGAGGCTAGTTTGCCAATCTGGCCGAGCATGGGCTTTTACCTGGGCTTTTTTCTTTTTCCAAAATACATGTTGAGATAGGGCCAAATACTCTTCTAAAAAAAATAGGGCCAAATACGTGTTTACCCGCAGCCGAAATACATGGAAGACCATACACGAAGAACGTTGTAAAATGAGTTGAAGAACCAGCGGAATGTGAACTGAGGAATCAAGGGTCTAGCACACGACGCTGTCCATTTACAGCGAGGAGGCGAGACGAGGCTCAGCAGCTGGTGAGAGCAGGGAGCCCAGGACGCTGACAGGAGTTGGTTTGATCTTCAGATCAAATGCCTCGCTGTCAAGCAAATTCTTCAATGTCTCAAATCAAACAATATGTTAATCATCGTCACATGGACTAAATTAAGTGCCGTAAATTCAAATGGAGAAAAACGTAGCAACACATAGATTTGGTTATGTATTTATGGAATGGGAAGACATGTATTCCACTAACCAGAGTGCCTAGCCAAATTGCCGGACACCAAGTCACGTACTCCCTCCGTCCGAAAATACTTGTCATCAAAATGGATAAAAAGAGATGTATCTAGAACTAAAATACATCTAGATACATCTCCTTTTATCTAGTTTGATGACAAGTATTTCCGGACGGAGGGAGTACAAAGGTAGGAGCTGCGCCGGTTATACATACGGCTTGGGGTTCAAGTTCAACCTCCATCTAACAGCACATAGAATACTGAAGAAATCACAGTTCTACAGTTTTACTTCCCACAAAAACAAAAGGAAATCACAGTTTTACAGGAGAGGGAGCTAAACAATCCCTCGGGGGTAAAAAGAAACAGCGTTGAACAACAGCCTGAGTGAGCTGAGAAGATGTCACGGTAGGCTCTCAGGTATCAAAGTCTTCACATCATCGCCCTCACTGAGATCTTGAGAAGAAATGCCAGCATTTGAACTCGAAGCACGCTTCTGAAACATGAGTATGGTTCAGATACAGGACAATGGTACTTTCATCACAAGACAGGTAGAATAGCCGTTCGAGAAAAAACATGACGGCACTGTTTTCTTTTCCTCAAAGAATTAAAGGTGCAGAGACAGTTTAATCAGGTCGTCACTCATATTCAAAGCTCAAATCAGAAAACGGGACATGGAAAATTTGGCGTTTAACAATCAATCCATGATTCCTACTCCGGCTGTTCCTTAACTCTTCTTATGTTAATTTGTCTGCTGTATGAAGGTGTACGATGTAGAACATTTTTAGGTACCTCTCTGTTACACTACTTGACAGCAAACAAATAACTTTTAATTCCATGCACAGCTAGCAGAGCTATGCTCAATTAACCATCATTCACTAAGTGTGCCAGCAAACGCACAAGAATGGAACTGTAGATAATAGCATGCATTCAAAGATGATAAAATTTAACAGCTTGGCAGAACCTATATCTATATGTACAAGTCTGAAAATACAAGTTAAAAAAGGAATCAACACTTGGAAGTGTTTTGCAACCAAACCAGTTCCCAAATTTAGGGCACCTACACAAACCTTGATGAAAAACTATTTATTGTTGACTGTGATTCTCAAAAAAAATGTGTTGACTGTTGGCTACCTCAGCACAATGAACATAGTAACTAGACAACTTGCACAGTAAGCAAACAAAGAACTAAAGAACACGTGTATGCATAAATTAAATCATAAAAATATGGGATGGAAAATAATTTTATTACAGGGGAGATCAGTCATTTGTACAACACGAGATAATACAATTACTACCCCCATAACTAAATATAAGACATTTAGTTACAGAGGTAGTACTTCACTTATATTTTAAAAGAAGCTAATTTGCTTATTTATTGCAGGAGAGATTAAAACAGATATAGGGGACAAGAACCAGCGAGATATAACAGAAAGGAAAAACATGAATATACTAGATCAAATATAAACTTTTACCTGATCTTCTATAGCACTACCCATCATACTAATGATACTACTTGTTACCTCATCCGTAGCCTGCAGACAAGTTAATTATTAGTTTGACATGTTTCAAGGAAAAGACGTCAATGATCTGACTTGCAAATTTTAAACACTATACCTTCATAATAGTATTATATTTCTTCATACGAGCATTTAAATTTTGCATATCCCGCTTCTGCGCCACCCAATTAAGCCGCCGGATGGGCCTTGGCTGCTGCAGTCTCATGCAAGACACGTGTTACAGCAGCTACAAGGGTGTTCTCCCTCCGTTTTTGTACAGAAGGCCACTTCTTTTTTCGTGTCAAACTTTGACTAATAATTTTGGTCAACAAAATATGGGTTATATGTCACCAAAACTATATCATAGGAAAGTTCTTTGAAATGTGCATCCAATGGCATACTTTTTGTGGCATATACCTAACATTTTGTTGGTAAAATTAATGGTCAAAGTATGAAAAATAATAATGAAGTGGCCTTGTATACAAAAACAGAGGGAGTACTTAATTAAAGAACTATGTTTTCTCCTTTTCAGATGATTATCTGACCATTCAAATATAATATGAAAATAAAATGTATGCTGACTTCCATTTAGACAAAGAATTACCTGATCTGGAAAGTTTGGAGATATTTGATTGATGTTCATGCTGATTTCCTGTCGAACCGTATCATCCAATATATGCGGCAGCAGATTATTGATCATCATGCGATAGCGTTGCGCACGGACCTATAAAACAGCAACTCTGATATTGTTAAAATTTCCAGAATAATAAATTCTAGTTAAGATAAATTTGAATTCAGCAAACATACAGTTTCCTTGTGCTCATCTCGGTGAGTGTCGCTCCACATTCTTTCATTCTCAGAGAGCTCATGCTCCCACGCCTCCCACTTCTTCAATTCCCAGCCTTCCCGCTGTTTTGGCCTACGCGCAATGGCAGTCTTCTTGTATACATCTAAACGTACAAGTGACTTCACACAGATATAGGATTGCATGTTCTCAGGCTTGTAGGGACTGAAATCTAACAGCTTTGCCATCTTACACAGTTTAGTATTGAAGTTCTCCCCGAGCAACTCATAGGAATATAGGTTGCCGTCACGACGTTGCAGTATGATCTTATCCCCATGAACCAAATTTGGACCCGGAATGTAATCTGGCGAGTACTGAATATTGTACTTCTGGATCCACCTTTGCTCTGTTTTGTTCTCAAGTTCCCAGATCTGCAGCTTACCAACAAGCCTTCTGGGCAGAGAAGGACAGGTTTGAGCAGTCGCTACACATACCTTGCCATCCATCTCTCTGATCCAGTACCGACGAGAACCACCAGCGGCAAAATCTTCAGGTTTAGTTGCTGGCAGTTGTATCTGTGCAAAACTTTCTCCACAGAGATCGAAGGTCATAACTGCATGCTGCCAGCTGGCTACCATGTCTTCAATTAGCCAATACAGTGTTCCGTCAATAGTGACCGCTCCAGAGTTTTTTACACAGTTTAAGCTTAGGGCTTCTGGAGTTTTGATATCCCTCCATTTCTCATCACCAAGCGTGTAAACTTGAATGACGCTGAATCTGTTATTATTACGCAGGCAAGGGCGACCCTCGATGAAATCACCAAGGAAGTGTGTAATCTTGTATTCTTTTGTCAATGGGTGAAACCCAAAGTTGTAGAACAAGAAGTGATCACCCCTCAAATTCTTTACAGGTTTCTCAAGATGCAGGAATTCACCGGTTGCAAGATTAGCTATCTTGAGTGTTGATGACTTTGTGTATAAGCAAAGAAGCCCATTGCATGAACCACAAAGGAAATCATCAGGCCCAATCACTGGCACTGCATATGTTGACAGCGACGAGGCTTCATCAATCAGGATAGCATCAGCAGGATGGGGCTCGCGTGAGACCGACTCTTGTGGGAAGAACAGAAGGGCATAATGGGATGCATGCTGGAGGTGTGATGTGACAAACTGGGGATCTCGGATGATTTTGTGCCATTGCTCGCAAACACCAGTGCACCTCAACAAAGTGCTCACTGGAAGCTTCAAAAATATCCGCTCAATGAGTTCTCCTGGGAGACAGTTTATAATGCATTCCTCGTCTCTTTGCTTCTTTGGTTTGGTTTCCTCAGAAACCATGGCAATCTAGTCTCTTGAGGAAGCCTGGGTACCAAATCCTTCTGCAGACACATTTAAAAACAATAGGGCAAACTTAGTAAAGATTATGAGTAAAGTAATTTGCAGGAAAATAATATGAGGTTCAGGTAAAAGTTTAACAGATGTTTTAATTTATTTACTTAGAAGTTAGAATTGGTGAAGAAGGAAACAAGTGGCACCACCTGTAGCAAACATGGAGCCCTGTGATGCTATTGATTAATAACCATAAACAAATCGATATACATATGATTCCTACAAAGTTTAAAAAACAAGCTAGCTTAAAACTAAAAGCACGATGAGATACACATATCAACATGCATAGATGAAACGCAAAGTGAGTACGACACCGCTAAAACACACTCCGCACAACAAAATGTGTTATGGCGCTGCTAGAAGGAGGGCGCGAGAGGGCCGGCCGGGGGCCTTTCTGCCCACGGCCGGGAAGTGGCGCTAGAAGGAGGGTGCGAGAGGGCTGGCCGGGGGCCTTTTTGCCCACGGCCGGGCAAGAGGGAAGGGATTTCCTTCTTAATTCTTGCTTGATTAGATTGATACATCTCTCTTTATATAGAGGTTTACTTGACTCCCAAGCAAGGCTTACTTGACCCCTAAGCAAGCGACCCTTATCTCTAATTAACCCTAAGACTAACGGGCTATACCGCCAGCCCAGGCCCATTACGTACTCTAACAAAATGTGTGCATCAGCGAGACAACCATACCACTTAGAAATAGTTTGCATTGAGACATTGGACAAAACAAGCAGGTAATGCATTTTTGGCATTAGAAAAGACGCACAGACTCCGGAATCATGCAACAAAACTGCATCAGCAACAAAGAGGACAGGTCACAGTCTCACAGACAGTAATTTGCTGCACCTTTTGTGAATTTCAGTGGCTACGGTAGGTAGTATGCAAATGCCTAGACAGCTCTCTGCTGTATTCCGGCACCGTGGAACAGCAAGACAAGCGAAGGAACAAAATGATACTCGCATGAATCGATTGACGGATGCTAGTACACGGAAAGCTTGCGAGTGCGCGCTCAGCAATTTGTGGGCGGGGAAAAAGTGGGTCGGAGCTCACCGCCACCGCGTCGACCTGCAAGCCACCAAACACGCAGGAGCCCGCGAGTCGCGAGGTTCGCTTCGCCGGCAGAGGCTCCTCTTCCGCCGCAGCGGCAGCGCACGGGCGGTCTGTGTCTAGGGTTAGAGCTGGGAAATGGAGATTGGGGATCTCTTTTTTTTTCAGACAAGGGGATCTTTTTCGAGGGTTCGCGAACGCCCCGCGCGGTCGGGCGGGCACTCAGCAAGTGGGGAGAGCACGGCCCAGCACCAAGCAAACGGCTTGTTAGCGTAGTGGAAGCGATATACAGCATTTGCGGCACTTAGACTAAAAAATATATTGCGGTTTTTCCCAATTTGCTACTAATATTTTGCATTTTTTGTAAACATCTTTTTAATTTTACTAATATTTTTGTACTCATGAAAATATTTCAAATGCGGAAGCATTTTTTGAATTTGAGAACATTTGTTGAATTCGTAAAAAATGAATTTGTGAACTTCTTTTGGGTTCACGAACATTTGTTTTCAAATTCACAATCTTTTTTTAATTTGTGAAAACAAATTGAATTAGCGAGAATTATTTAATTCATGAACATTTCCTTTATTTTGCAGACTTTTTTGAATTCAATAACTTTTTTTGGATTCAATAATATTTTTCCTGAAGTTGAAAAAATGTTCAGAGTGTATTTGTAAAATGTTCAAACTACATTAGAATAATGTTTATATCGCAGAAAATTATAAATAAGAAAAACTTTAAAAGAAAAAATTGAAAGAAAACTAGAATGAAACCAAACCTGAAAGAGAAAAAGGGGAAATCAGAAAAGAAAAAAATGAAAAAGACAAAAATCATACTCCCCCCATTCCACTTTGTAATATACATAGTTTTTTGCAAAAATTCCGAAATGTAGTGCGTGCATGCAGCTTCACGCTAGTATAGACGAATTAATCCTCGGCTGTAACCAGATGCGTGCGCACATGGGTGCCAGAGAGGCCCTACATGCTTGGTTACTTTGGTACAAAGTGCAAGTACACATCATGCATTGGTACAAGTGTTAGAAGCCATGTGCACTATAAAATGGAATGGAGAGGGTACTATGTACCCTAGGGCTACAGGAGGTAGGAATCGCGACCGTCCTATGAGCGAGCTGGGAGACACGTTGGGCCTGGCCCATGTGAGTGCGCTACGGGCGACCCTTGTTTTAGCACTCAATAAGATTCTAACTCCACTGGCTAGACCCAGAAAGGAACTGCGTGGGAGATAGAGGAAGCATGTATTTGGTGAAATCAAAATCTAAAGAAAATGCTGAAATCTTATATCTATTATATTCAAATATGAGCCCTCCATTACCTATTTTTCTTGACATGCAGTCTACCCGCATCAACGATCAACATGCAGCCATCCACCTCAGCAAAAAAATCCACTAAACAAACCGTGTGATTAAATCCTTTTACTACTACACATCGGTTTGTCTTTGTCTTCTGAAACTGAAGAAGAGCTGAGATGCACCGTTTGGTCCACACGTTCATCTCATCGTCTCTCCAGTCAAAAATCTTAAGCCTCCATGGAAGATGGTAGCAGCTACTACCTTGCGATGCCCCACTCGATGGCAGCCGATAGACCAAGGTTCGAATCATGGCGGCTGCTCAATTTTTACTAAAACTGACTAAGGACATATGAAAAAGAATAATTGGACGAAAAAGGCTGAAGAAACAATCCGTCCTTTAATATTAGGTAGAGATGGCAGTGGATTCACATGTATCATACAACCAGCCAATTTTCAGGTCTTGCAAAAAATAGAACCAATTTTCAGGAATATGGGAAAGTTCATATTGCTGGATTTTGTTCTGGTCTGCTATTTTGGTTCCTAGCTACCTTTTTTGTGTGGGATGCTACTAACTTAACCTTAATATCTGACCATTTCGTGCAGCGACGCGTCAGAGTTGCGACAAAGCATCATATTTTCATGTGAGCAGTCTCAAAGTTTTAGGTGAGAACTATATATGAAGAAAATTATTTGTACGAAGAAGATAAGTCATGGCCTGACTATAGTTTAGTACTCCCTCTATAAAGAAATATAAGATCATTTAGATCACTACTTTAGTAATTTAAATGATCTTATATTTCTATACCAAGGAAGTACATTGTTGTATATGATTCCTTCCACTTGAATTGTGGTCTCGACAACTATCCTATAAGATTTTGATACTTACACTCCCTATTGATCTTCTACCCATATCTGAAAATTTGTATGTTCTCGGTAACAACCGTTGAAACAAACATGTGTGTTGCTTTTGAGTACATGCGCAAACATACCCATTTAAATCTTTCATACCCACTGATATCTTTGTCACTAATCTCGTGCACTCGATCTTTTCTTCATATCCATGAGTCAACAACATACCCCCGGGGATATTCACAATATATGCTGCTGACCACCAAATTTCATCTTAACCCACGACGTTGTAAAATAAGAAAAGAAATATTTGTGCAGCCATATGAACAACCAACCTCCCCTCCGTTCTGGAACTTACAATTTTCATATTAATTTATGCCCGAAGAAAGTGTAATCAATTCTCTAATCATAAGATATATGTTTCATGCCTTTCAAGTACTGTTACACTAGATTACGTTGGGGATATGGAGCATGCATACAGACTTGAGTCAATCTCATAATCCAAGCTACAATTGTTGATTGATGCTATGCTTACCCACACAAATGCATTTAAAGATATTTATTCCCATTAGTAATGACACTTATGAGTATCTCTTCTTTCGTAGCAAAAGAGGGGGATGATTGGCAAGATTGATAATAGTGCAGAACGGGTTAAAGGTAGATGGTTGTCTCTGTAATATTTTGTTTAGGTGAACCCTCAAAAAAAAATTGTTTAGGTGTACAATTGAGTCCACTTAAGCTATCAACTAATGTACCAACAATAAGTGTATAAGTGTATTGATTTTTTTTTTGTATGTTCAGTGTCGCTTTATTGGTTCCGACTTTGTTATTCAAATGAATGGTTTATTTTTTTGTATTGTCATGGATGACATGTGTTGAATGCTCAGAAAATACATAATGCAGGTAATGTTTCTTTCTCAAGAAAATACCATTCCATACTACAATTCAAAGTTTTGCACTTCTTTATAGAGTACAATTTTGTTACTGCTTTATGTTTTTCATTTTTAAATTAAATAAATCAACGAAAAATCTGCATTTTTCTTGCATTAGTTTTAGTTGATTTTGTAGCACATATTAATTAATATATGTTTTTAAGTTCCCGTAGCAATCGTGCGGGGTATCATCTAGTATATCTAAGAGAGTCATTCCCAGTAGCTTATTTATCTCAATATGCAAGCATGCCACATCACTGTACAATTATGGGTGGGATAAGGCCCACCTCAACATGCAACCATGTATAGGAAAAGACCCATCACCACATGTTACCATGCATGGGTGAATATTTCTCATTCTATTACTGTGCTTATTTCAATAAATATTTTACAACTATACACAATTAAAAATAATAAGTCATATAGTTCAAAAAAACTCGTATGTATTTTTATTTTTGGCTCGCATGTTATTAATCTAAATATTTATATTCCACACAATCAAATTTCAATGGAATATATTCAACCGATTCCCGCAGCAAGACGTGGGGTATCATCTAATTTTGATAGTATTTGGCAGTTTATCAGTTTAGGATTCAGATACTCTAAACCTGCTTTTCTTCTTAAAGATATGTTACATTAAAGTACGCAAAGGAAAATAATTGTAGCAAAGTGGAAACATTCATCTATACAAATGGAGACATACCATAGGGATGCCTACATTTCAAGATAAGCTAATTTTCTTATTTAAATATGACAACGGAAACTAAAATAGATATAGGTAACGAAAACTAGTAAAATAGAGAGAAAAGACATAAAATATTA